TCGCTCAGATTATCCGTCTTATTGCCATGTAACTATCTGGAAAGTTTAAAGAAATTCTATCATTCAGATCTCGAGATATATGCCTGCGTTCCGCTAGAACGCGCCAATTTGAGATATTTTCTTGTGTTTGAAGTCATATCTCAAGTTTGGCACATAGAAATTCGCCCAAACTCGCTCAGATTATCCGTCTTATTGCCATGTAACTATCTGGAAAGTTTAATGAAATCATATCATTCAGAGATTCAGATCTCGAAATAATCGACTTTCGTCAAATATTGTTCCGAAACCGCCAATTTGAGATCTTTTCATGTGTTTGAAGTCATATCTCAAGTTTGGCACATAGAAATTCGCCCAAACTCGCTAAGTTAATCCGTTTCATTGCCATGTAACTATCTGGAAAGTTTAAAGAAATTCTATCATTCAGATCTCGAGATATATGCCTGCGTTCCGCTAGAATGCTCAAATTTGAGATATTTTCTTGTGTTTGAAGTCATATCTCAAGTTTGGCACATAGAAATTCGCCTAAACTCGCTCAGATTATCCGTCTTATTGCCATGTAACTATCTGGAAAGTTTAAAGAAATTCTATCATTCAGATCTCGAGATATATGCCTGCGTTCCGCTAGAACGCGCCAATTTTCTTGTGTTTGAAGTCATATCTCAAGTTTGGCACATAGAAATTCGCCCAAACTCGCTAAGTTAATCCGTTTCATTGCCATGTAACTATCTGGAAAGTTTAAAGAAATTCTATCATTCAGATCTCGAGATATATGCCTGCGTTCCGCTAGAATGCTCAAATTTGAGATATTTTCTTGTGTTTGAAGTCATATCTCAAGTTTGGCACATAGAAATTCGCCTAAACTCGCTCAGATTATCCGTCTTATTGCCATGTAACTATCTGGAAAGTTTAAAGAAATTCTATCATTCAGATCTCGAGATATATGCCTGCGTTCCGCTAGAACGCGCCAATTTTCTTGTGTTTGAAGTCATATCTCAAGTTTGGCACATAGAAATTCGCCCAAACTCGCTCAGATTATCCGTCTTATTGCCATGTAACTATCTGGAAAGTTTAAAGAAATTCTATCATTCAGATCTCGAGATAATCGACTTTCGTCAAATATTGTTCCGAAACCGCCAATTTGAGATATTTTCTTGTGTTTGAAGTCATATCTCAAGTTTGGCACATAGAAATTCGCCCAAACTCGCTCAGATTATCCGTCTTATTGCCATGTAACTATCTGGAAAGTTTAAAGAAATTCTATCATTCAGATCTCGAGATTTATGCCTGCGTTCCGCTAGAATGCTCAAATTTGAGATATTTTCTTGTGTTTGAAGTCATATCTCAAGTTTGGCACATAGAAATTCGCCCAAACTCGCTCAGATTATCCGTCTTATTGCCATGTAACTATCTGGAAAGTTTAAAGAAATTCTATCATTCAGATCTCGAGATAAATGCCTGCGTTCCGCTAGAATGCTCAAATTTGAGATATTTTCTTGTGTTTGAAGTCATATCTCAAGTTTGGCACATAGAAATTCGCCTAAACTCGCTCAGATTATCCGTCTTATTGCCATGTAACTATCTGGAAAGTTTAAAGAAATTCTATCATTCAGATATCGAGATATATGCCTGCGTTCCGCTAGAACGCGCCAATTTAAGATATTTTCTTGTGTTTGAAGTCATATCTCAAGTTTGGCACATAGAAATTCGCCCAAACTCGCTCAGATTATCCGTCTTATTGCCATGTAACTATCTGGAAAGTTTAAAGAAATTCTATCATTCAGATCTCGAGATAATCGACTTTCGTCAAATATTGTTCCGAAACCGCCAATTTGAGATCTTTTCATGTGTTTGAAGTCATATCTCAAGTTTGGCACATAGAAATTCGCCCAAACTCGCTCAGATTATCCGTCTTATTGCCATGTAACTATCTGGAAAGTTTAAAGAAATTCTATCATTCTTTGAGATATTTTCTTGTGTTTGAAGTCATATCTTTAGTTTGGCACATAGAAATTCGCCCAAACTTGCTCAGATTATCCGTCTTATAGCCATGTAACTATCTGGAAAGTTTAAAGAAATTCTATCATTCAGATCTCGAGATAATCGACTTTCGTCAAATATTGTTCCGCGGAACATACGGAACGGAAAGTCCAACTCTTATGATCCTGAAGGACACTCGACAAAACTAATCCAAATTGCAAACAATTAATCTTTTTAAGCAATTACTTTTAAAAATGTATCCCACATCATACTATACGATATCATCCAAACTTTCCAGATAGTAAGGTAAGTAAGTATAAGACTGACCAAACTTTTTACAATTTCACCAATTCAATAAATTGTGCGTAACGAAACCAGGGAGATTTTCACATATCCTGTTTTATAATTTTATAAATATCGAAATAGTTAAAAAGCTTGATGATAATTCTCAGGTACTCAGGTAAGTCAGAGGTGATCGGATTGGTGAAGCATCCAGTTGAAACACAAGACAACTGATAAACTTACGCTTTTCAAAACGCGTGTTTCAATAGTTTTGTTGGGTTTTTTAGATTCTTGATTCGCTAAGATGTTGATATTCTTGAGGAGCATGAAAATCATATTTCTTATAGAATTTTGTTTTGATTTTGCTTAGAAAGTTTTAGTATAATTGATCTTACTTCCAGATCCAGAAATTGGTTCGGCGTATACTAATAGTTATTAGTTATTTTGGTTTTATATTAGCATGTTTACTATCTTAGCATTCCCCTCCCCTCCGTTCCTCCTTTCCTCCTCCCCTCCTCCCCTCCTCCCCTCCTCCCCTCCTCCCCTCCTCCCCTCCTCCCCTCCTCCCCTCCTCCCCTCCTCCCCTCCTCCCCTCCTCCCCTCCTCCCCTCCTCCCCTCCTCCCCTCCTCCCCTCCTCCCCTCCTCCCCTCCTCCCTCCTCCCCTCCTCCCCTCCTCCCCTCCTCCCCTCCTCCCCTCCTCCCCCCTCCTCCCCTCCTCCCCTCCTCCCCTCCTCCCTCCTCCCCTCCTCCCCTCCTCCCCTCCTCCCCTCCTCCCCTCCTCCCCTCCTCCCCTCCTCCCCTCCTCCCCTCCTCCCCTCCTCCCCTCCTCCCCTCCTCCCCTCCTCCCCTCCTCCCCTCCTCCCCTCCTCCCCTCCTCCCCTCCTCCAGATAGCAGCTGTTTGATACTACAGTGCTATCTGATAATACACACTTTCAGCTCATATCATTTGTCTTATTGGGTATGATCAGGTAGTAGGTAGGCCCCTGTGGCCTGTAACACCCGGCACACAGAGAGAGAGAGAGAGAGAGAGACACTCCTCCCCTCCTCCCCTCCTCCCCTCCTCCACTCCTCCCCTCCTCCCCTCCTCCCCTCCTCCCCTCCTCCCCTCCTCCCCTCCTCCCTCCTCCCCTCCTCCCCTCCTCCCCTCCTCCCCTCCTCCCCTCCTCCCCTCCTCCCCTCCTCCCCTCCTCCCCTCCTCCCCTCCTCCCCTCCTCCCCTCCTCCCCTCCTCCCCTCCTCCCCTCCTCCCCTCCTCCCCTCCTCCCCTCCTCCCCTCCTCCCCTCCTCCCCTCCTCCCCTCCTCCCCTCCTCCCTCCTCCCCTCCTCCCCTCCTCCCCTCCTCCCCTCCTCCCCTCCTCCCCTCCTCCCCTCCTCCCCTCCTCCCCTCCTCCCCTCCTCCCTCCTCCCCTCCTCCCCTCCTCCCCTCCTCCCCTCCTCCCCTCCTCCCCTCCTCCCCTCCTCCCCTCCTCCCCTCCTCCCCTCCTCCCCTCCTCCCCTCCTCCCCTCCTCCCCTCCTCCCCTCCTCCCCTCCTCCCCTCCTCCCCTCCTCCCCTCCTCCCCTCCTCCCCTCCTCCCCTCCTCCCCTCCTCCCCTCCTCCCCTCCTCCCCTCCTCCCCTCCTCCCCTCCTCCCCTCCTCCCCTCCTCCCCTCCTCCCCTCCTCCCCTCCTCCCCTCCTCCCCTCCAACTCTCTATCAGCTGTTTGATACTACAGTGCAATCTGATAATACACACTTTCAGCTCATATCATTTGTCTTATTGGGTATGATCAGGTAGTAGGTAGGCCCCAGTAACACCCGGCACACACAGAGAGAGAGACAGAGAGAGAGAGAGAGAGAGAGAGAGAGAGAGAGAGAGAGAGAGAGAGAGAGAGAGAGAGAGAGAGAGAGAGAGAGAGAGAGAGAGAGAGAGAGAGAGAGAGAGAGAGAGAGAGAGAGAGAGAGAGAGAGAGAGAGAGAGAGAGAGAGAGAGAGAGAGAGAGAGAGAGAGAGAGACACTGTGACCCTCTTGTGAGCTCACAGTGTCATTTGAATTATTATAATATCTCACTAGTTACACTGTAACACTGTACACCCGCTCCTCCGCAGCTCTGTTTAAACTTTTAAAGGAGGAAGATTTTTGAGAAAACTTTGTGAACGATCAGAATTCAGATGGTCTGGAGATGACCGATCAGAATTAGTTGGAGAGGTGCCAAATCAGAATTACTAGTGATCAGAGAAGATTAAACACAATCAAGGTGGTCACTCAGTCTAACAAAAGATCACGTTAATCGCTCACTGCTCAGCATAAATTTGTAGCATTAACTGCTTAGTTCCCTATATTCACCGCATATTTCAGCACATTCACAGCATATTTCCTCCTATATTCATATCTCGCCCGCACAAAGCAAGCCATTGAAGCTTCCCTGATCCCGCACATTGTGCTGAGTACGGACAGACGCTACCAAGCACACGAGTAGTGAGGCAGTACACTTCCCCACTGTTAGCACTGTGTATCTTTTACGGTTTTAGTACAGGGAGAAGATGTCACGCTCTATGTTATTTGCACAACACAGTGGACTCCTAACTCTAGATTTAGGGCTTTTTAGGGCTATATAACGTATAGTAATTAATATAGGGGAACTCTTAATTCTAAATTTTAAGAATTTACAAAAGTGTACCGCACTCTTATTATCAAAGATTATCAAAATCTTTAGGTTAAATAGTAGATATTTTGAAAAACGTATTTCATGATACAACTTACGTAGTGCTGTAGAGAGGTATCGGAAGAAGCGCTTTGTACTTTGTTAGTGTGCTCTACCTCCCGTGATCCTGAAAATATAAAATCAAACACAAGGAAATATTTTGTTTCTGCCTATATTCATTGAAACACCAAGAAATGATTTTTAATAAAAAAATATTTTATTAAAACAAATATTTATTTTTACGGCACAATCAAACAATATCAATAATAAATAAATCAGGTGAGGTTTCAAGAGGTTTCAAGTGCCGAAGGCCACTGCTAATCTTTGGATTTGAGAGTGACCTGTGCTTGAAACCCCCTCAACCATCCACTACGTCAATATACTTATTATACAAATATAAAAAAATATAATAATCTAAAATTACTTATTTGTCTAGTTTGGTGACACAGGAGAGCCCAGTTGAGTTTAAGTTTAGGTTGAAGTTTTAAATCATAGTTTAAAAGGTTAGCCATGTTTCATGGCAGAGAGAGATATCATTTATAATTATTATATACGTGGTCACAGTATGTGGGAAAGAGAATTTCAACAAAGTGTCTAAGTGTCTACCATATCCGACTTTTACTTAGATAAGAGTACACTAACATTTATCAGTCCTTACTTTATCCCTATATCGATTATTTTTTCTATCGCCTTATCCTTTATGGTGTTCGCGGATAATGACGTATGACATAATCGCGGAATAAACTCCACAGTATATTGTATATATTTGATTGTATAAATGTTTATTAAATCTATATAATAATATTCCATAATTATATGAATCACCAACGAGAGCAGTATTTCCATTTTAGTGTAAATTCCCCAGAACTTGTCGAGGAAACACCAAACGAGTGACAGAGTGGCACAGATTGGTACTCACGTAAAACCACACCACCCCCTGTATGTGTATGAAACTTCACACTGGAGCAGCATTCAAAATGAAATAATGCTAATGAAAAACTCAGGTGGTGCTCAATGTCCTGCTCACAGCTCAGTTGGACAGATATTGTTACTCAAACTACAGGGACCTGTCACCCTCTGGGAGACAATTAAACCGGCCAGTTGTTACCTGACGTGTTCTCGCTTGTCAGCTTGCTTCATTAATCTCAGTCACCGCCCCCAATTTAATGCCTTATAAATTCATTTAAAGCTCCCCTCAAACTTACGGACATCTTTCAAAGGCACATGCTGGGGTTGGGAGAAACAAAATCAGAATAAGTGTCAAAATATTCAGTGTCCAATTGGAGGAATATAACCAGTGCTGTCGGCAGCGTATTGGTTAGTTTGTCGGTAGTGGTAGCAGCGGAATTTCTTAAGTCCTGACAGGCAGCCAATTTTTTTTGAAAGACCGTATACGGTTAAACTTTGAACTGATTTTGTTTGGACAAACTTCCAAAAATTAGAGTCTTCTGGAAGATGAATTAATATTTAATCCCTAATGATATGCTCAATGCTCAAATTGTATTGTAACCATCTGTAAGTCTGTTATAGAATATATCTGCTCCGGAGTAAGGTGGCAGCTGACAAGGTTAAATATTCAACCAGGTAATTACATCTTTAAATATATATTCTCGATCTTACAACGACAACCGCAGCGTATTATTATTAACAAAATGTTGAATATTTTATTGTTTAGTTCATTATCATATTCGTACTTTTAATAGGTGAAATACGGACACAAGTATTATTATTGTTTAGGGTTGACAGGAAAGATTAATTTCAGTCATATTTTGCTTCCCTGATGTAAGATTTTATAGCAGAGTAACTTTATCACACATATTTATAATGTAATAATATGTAAACTATTGACAGAAGTCTTACCAACGGTGACAAGAGTGCTTCGTAGCTTCCAAAACGAGATTCCATTACCCATCAGTATCACATGAGTGTCACATGGTACGTGTAACCTCGCTCCAATCACATCCTACACGTGCAGTCAGTTAATAATTAGGTAATTATTTAGTAATCATATGATTAATTAATTAGAAAACCATTATCATTGATTGTAATAACTAATATTCATTCTTATCCATAAATATCTATTAACAAATAACAATAAATGCGAAAACTCTGTCAAATTAACTTATAAGTGAGCAAAATAAGGTGTTCCGTTAGCCATATAAGTCGAATGATTGGCTTCCTCATTATCATCGTTAACATTGTAAGGATGCTTTCTGTATAAATGTATTTTAGGAGCAAATTCTCCAATTGTGGGAGCTATGGTCTATAAATAGCATATAATACGAGAATAAACGGTTTTGAAGAGGATTTTCACATTTATTTTTAATCTTAAAGAGTTAAAGGGACCTAACGATAAAGCTACACAAAAATTTAACAAGTGGAATAATTAGTGTATTTTGAAGGGTGATAACAATATTGTTGCAAAATTCAGTCCCAAATTTAAAGACTGACCTTTTATCACGCGTGACCTAATGACCTGCTGCGTGACATAATTAATAAGTAAATACAGCTTTCATTACATGTATTACATGAACTTGTAAGTTTGCCCCTCCCAATATTTGGAGATGACTTGTGCTTTCGAACAGTCAAGGAAAACTGAACTTCGTCACTGGACACTTGACAGTTAAACATTAACATCATAATATCTAAATTAATTTAATCGTTAAAGTAACATGGATTTATTAATCGTAAAAGTTAAGCACTATTGGAAAATCAACCTCGCCGGACATTTTTAACAGCTTGGTATTCAAATAATATATTAGAAGAAAATGGTAGATTTGTGGCCAAACATTAAACAACAAAGGGCTGATAATATTTAATAATTATCAGTAATTGACAGTCGCAAAACTTGAAACACAAAAAATTAACAAGCATTCATCAAAGGATAGTTGAGTACGATGTACACAAGAAGCGAACCAAACATCCTATCACAGGGTGATAAAAACTAACAAACTCGACTAGTTTCAGCTTTTTACGACCAACAACAATTCAAGGATATCACATCAATAAACGTAATAGTCCTGCAGTGTTGACATATTATTATTTTCCATAAATGTCAAGTCATTTTCCAACGTCCGCGTAAGAGCTGACAAAAGCTCGTAATAATAATACCGATAGTTATAAAGTATATCACGTTGTTTATTGTCGGAAAACAGTGTTACAGACGTTGACAGTGAAAATAGAAACCGTAAAAGAACCTAAAATACGGGAGGCCATGCACTTTATCAAGTACAAAACACCGAATACTTTTACTAGAAATGAACGAATGCCGTTACTGGCATTATTACTGGCATTATTACTGGCATTATTACTGGCATTATTACTGGCATTATTACTGGCATTATTACTGGCATTATTACTGGCATTATTACTGGCATTATTACTGGCATTATTACTGGCATTATTACTGGCATTATTACTGGCATTATTACTGGCATTATTACTGGTATTATTACTGGCATTATTACTGGCATTATTACTGGCATTATTACTGGCATTATTACTGGCATTATTACTGGCATTATTACTGGCATTATTACTGGCATTATTACTGGCATTATTACTGGCATTATTACTGGCATTATTACTGGCATTATTACTGGCATTATTACTGGCATTATTACTGGCATTATTACTGGCATTATTACTGGCATTATTACTGGCATTATTACTGGCATTATTACTGGCATTATTACTGGCATTATTACTGGCATTATTACTGGCATTATTACTGGCATTATTACTGGCATTCCGACTCCGGCAACAAACAACACACCACCTTAATACAGAGGGACACTACACGCTGTTAAAGTTTCATTAATTCAGAATTATCAAACACCTGTAAAATAAAACTCAGATTAATCAAGTAAAGGGTTAGAGCTGGCTATGTGATCATGTAATCACCTAGGAACACCTACCGAAGTAAACCTATTCTGTATTCTGTGATGGTAACATTTTGTTGTTTTCTTTTATATTGATCCTGCAAGCATTATGAAAAAATCAATCATATGATTTAATGGGAACGTTCGTCTTATTATGTCAGAATATAAGGCCCCCTTTTGGACATATTGTGAACCTGATAATGCAACTCATAAACGGTATAGTACCCTTAAAGCAGTTTAGTTTATTCGAATCACAAGCCTTGCTCGCACTTTACTAATGAACTGCACTAATGATTTTGAAAGATATAAATTTTATCAAAAAAAAGAGATATATTTGGTAATGTAGAAGTAGGGTGATATTTGGAGGTATCCATGAGCATTCTGTAGGTGTGAACAAGCTAAATATAAAGACTGCAGAAGTGGCCCCAGAGGTGCAACATGATGGTAGCTTCAGTGAAGATGATATTTATACCTACAACGTAAGTGAGGATCTCAGTTGCCAACTATGAACTTTTAATATTATATAGATGTAAAGTAATGAAGAAGTAAATAGAATGACGTATGTTCGAAAGAAGCAATTTGCAGACGCTGATATAGAAATGGGTTAAAAATGACAACTCCGGATCGAGCTAGTTTTAATCGCATACCTGAATAAACTTTTTACTGTGAAAATGTTCGGTGGCAACTGGCAACAGAAATTTAAAATTTAATAAAATTCCCACCGGGCCTCCAATATTCTGATCATCAAATGCATGCAGCACTTATTTCTGGTTAAGAGGGTGTCCGCTCCCATTTTCAGCAGAGCCAACCTCTTTAAGTCTCTTAAACTATTTAGCAAGAACCCATAACTCAAACCTTTCCCAACACCTTTAATAACTCCACCAAATCAATGTTTGCTCTCACGCCAGATTAAAATATCTGTCAAATCCTCCCTCCAGCACCAAACCAGCTATGTAACTAGAGAAACTGGCGAACCACTCTGAGTACCAGCGAACTGTTGTAATCCCACCCACCCTGACGGGCTCTGACAGCTCTACTCCCCGATCTCCCCACACTCCCCGAGAGCAACTTGGTAGTTCGTTAACGTAGTTATCATTTTGGTTTTGACGTCTTTTTGACGTCATTTTAAAGAGTTATTTGTCGTGGTTTGTTGTAATGGAGTGTCCGCCCCTCCACTATGCCCTTGTTTGGCAAGCCGCCAGGATCGTTACCGACGCCCTAGGTTGATATGGAATGATCCCAACTGCAGCAACTTAGTAACCAAGTAACTGTACACATGCCAGTCTAGTCAGACTACTTATAACCTGGAGAGAGAGAGAGAGAGAGAGAGAGAGAGAGAGAGAGAGAGAGAGAGAGAGAGAGAGAGAGAGAGAGAGAGAGAGAGAGAGAGAGAGAGAGAGAGAGAGAGAGAGAGAGAGAGAGAGAGAGAGAGAGAGAGAGAGAGAGAGAGAGAGAGAGAGAGAGAGAGAGAGAGAGAGAGAGAGAGAGAGAGAGAGAGAGAGAGGTGGCAGTAGGACCAGCAGTAGTGAGCTGGTGAGCAGCTCGCAGGGTGGTTTAGTTATCAGCTTGTTAAATAGCTAGGTAGTACAGTTCGGTTTACTAATAAGGGAAAGATGGGGTGGGGTAACTTGATAGGGTCGTTCAGATGGGAGGGATGTGGGATAAGACAGAGATTATGATTTAAGGGGGCCGGGGGGGGTCTTCATCAAACTTCTCTCGAAATTGACTTTTTATTTGTTTCTGATAGAGGGGGGTGATATCTATCAGCTACTTTTGGTCCCATGGAAAAATATTGTTCCTAGCCAAAATAATCGCCGGTCAAAGGTCAGCGCTGTGTAATTGTATTGCGCGAGCGATTTTCAATCGCGTGCCCCGAAAATCGAGTCTAAAAATCTATCTTCTCCTACATTTTTAGCTATCACCCTGAAACTTTCAGGATATGTTCTAGGGATCATTTAGAAGAGATCTGTTGAGCCGAATTTGAGATTGGACCTGGAAAAATCGTCAAAAAATGAGGTCCAATATTTTCAAAATCGAATAAAAAAACAATTACACATAAGCGCTGACCTTTGACCAATGACCGGCGATTATTTTGGCTGGGAACAATATTTTTCCAAGGGACCAAAAGCAGCTGATAGATATCATTCCCCTCTATCAGAAACAACTAAAAAGTTAATTTCGAGATAATTTTGATGAAGACCAGCCCCCTTAAACAAGCTTCTCACGCTTTATTAATAGAGGGATGTGGTCTAGAGATGGGGAGGGGAAGGGTTGAGAGGGGGGCCAATGGCATAAAATGGAGACCCCCCCCCCCCCCCTTCCCCCCGCTGAGAGAAATTTCAAGATTATTTAAGACTATTTTTAAAACAATCTATCTAACATTGACAAATACTTTAACTTAACAAACCATTTACGGTAATTACTCATAAGGCATAAATATAAATAAACTAAATCTAGCGTTGCCACTTCCCTAAACGTCAATTTTATTGACTTATAAAACCTCTATATTATAAACGTTATAGTGACGAAAATAAATTGCTGAAACTGAGAAAAACAAAAGCTATAAGAATAAAAAACCCCGATAAAAACGCTAAAATCAAAGAAATTCAGAAACAGAGCGCAGCTACACATGCATACGAACACCGACAACTTTGAACAGTAAATCTAAACGTCGCATAACCATGGTGAACAATTTCACTTAGGATTAGACATAAGGCGATATAAACTGAATGTCGTCACAGTCATGTGTAGTCTGCGGACCGGTCCGCGGAGTAAGTCCGGCTTCCTGGATACTGCTTAGTTTTTATCACTGGTTAGGACATAATGACGACGATGTCTGATCTTACAATTGCTAAATAATGTCTGCACACTTGAGTCTACTTCTACTAATGGAAACGGTTTGTTGGAAGTCATAAAATGTCCTGAAGTGTGTTTAAGTGGATGCGGCTTTAACTTACACAGAGAAAGCATATATCACGGTGTTTTGTTATAATTGGATAATAAAATAACACCATAATACGTCATAACATCAGAACATTTGTATTACAATGGTTGGAAAACTGTAGCGAACAAATGGATCGTTATCAATAAGCAATCCCACACAATTTGCATAATTATTGAACATATTCTCGCACGTATTTACAATTATAGTGCTAATTAACGAACCACACACGTCAGCAGTTCCCGGAAATCCAGGAGATTCGTTCACTGAAATTACGCGAGTGCTTACTGACGTATAATAATCGACATCATGACAAAAGACAGGGCAGTAATACGTGTACCCTGAAATTCGGTCTATTTTGTAACCAAGATCGGAGCTATACTAGCCATTAAATACTTACCGTTACTTACCAAGATCAGAGCTATACTAACCATTATACTTACCGTTACTTACGAAGATCGGAGCTATACTAACCATTATACTTACCGTTACTTACCAAGATCGGAGCTATACTAACCATTATACTTACCGTTACTTACGAAGATCGGAGCTATACTAACCATTATACTTACCGTTACTTACCAAGATCGGAGCTATACTAACCATTATACTTACCGTTACTTACCAAGATCGGAGCTATACTAACCATTATACTTACCGTTACTTACCAAGATCGGGGCTATACTAACTATTATACTTACCGTTACTTACCAAGATCGGAGCTATACTAACCATTATACTTACCGTTACTTACTAAGATCGGAGCTGTTCCAACCATTATACTTACCGTTACTTACCAAGATCGGAGCTATACTAACCATTATACTTACCGTTACTTACCAAGATCGGAGCTATACTAACCATTATACTTACCGTTACTTACCAAGATCGGAGCTATACTAACCATTATACTTACCGTTACTTACCAAGATCGAGCTATACTAACCATTATACTTACCGTTACTTACCAAGATCGGAGCTATACTAACCATTATACTTACCGTTACTTTACCAAGATCGGAGCTATACTAACCATTATACTTACCGTTCTTACCAAGATCGGAACTATACTAACCATTATGCTTACCGTTACTTACCAAGATCGGAGCTATACTAACCATTATACTTACCGTTACTTACCAAGATCGGAGCTATACTAACCATTATACTTACCGTTACTTACCAAGATCGGAGCTATACTAACCATTATACTTACCGTTACTTACCAAGATCGGAGCTATATTAACCATTATAGCTTACCGTTACTTACCAAGATCGGAGCTATACTAACCATTATACTTACCGTTACTTACCAAGATCGGAGCTATACTAACCATTATACTTACCGTTACTTACCAAGATCGGAGCTATACCAACCCTTATACTGTTGATTTGATAATATAACTTGACTGATATTTTATGATATATGTTTTATATTTCGGTTTGATTTTATAAGATGGTCATATCTTAATATTATTATAATCCCTAGGGAGGGATGGCTTACGACGTTTATGATATGTCACTGCTTCAAGAGTTTTCTCACGACTAAAGACTCTCTAAAGGAATAAGAACGACTTAGAAGGGACTTGATACAAATATGAGACAATTGTGATATAATGTGTATTATGAACAATTTGATAACCATTTCATTCAATAAGTGTATTTCAATTAGATCCAAGAATGAGACTCAATTAAACTCTATATAACATATACTTACCAAGATCAGAATAATACCAACCATTATACTAATCGTTTCTAACAACTGGTAGATGTTGGTTGACGTCAGAGCCTTTAATTTCACCAAAAACGTTCGTTGAATTAAAATGCACACCACGAATGTTTTGGTCGACGATCTTAATTTTGGTGCTGTTATATTATTGAAACTAAATAGCAGATAGTATTAAAGTTGGTACTGGTGTATTATGGGTATTGGGTACTGATATGCAGCGCTCGGTGCAGCTGGCCGGCTGGCGGCTAGTAAGATATGGGTATTATTATATGGTATTACATAGTTGTATATACTATATATAATACTATATTATAGTATATATAGTATACTTTATAGTTGTATTGTATTATGTTGGTGTAGTGTGTACATCTGAAAGATCCTAATCAGTCGTACTCCAAATGTGATTAATCCCTGTTTGCCGCGTGTTGAACAGCAGGGATCACGACCCACAAAGGGCTAAGCACACAAGGGATACGGTGCTTGACTAAAATCCAAGGCTAGACTATAATGAATAGCCAGATGTATGTAATGGCTACATTTATAGCTATATGATATACAGACTGTGCGAGATACATCCTATCGGGGCTGTATCTTACCAGTTTTACAACAGTGACTACACTATAACTGCTTTAGCAGGTTATAGCTTTGTGTTTCAAATATTAAAGTGAAATGTCCGTTGTTCATGGATTAAGATGTAATGAAAAGGGATCGAACCATCTTATTGGCGGTATGCTTCTGGGTCAGCAGTTTGGTATACAACCACGGATTCCATGTTTTGGAAGAACCAGAAGATCAAAATAATCAACGATTGGAAATCAATTTGTTATCGATCATTTTCCAATGTACCATCCATTTCATTTTAGGAAAGGTTATATCATATTTGAAGACTGAGTACCTACGTTTTCCTGTGGGTACCTAACATCAGACTGAAAGGACCGAGTATATGGATATTTTAACTTAAGTGCAACAAATAATTAAATAATTTGGCAATTGTTTATTTATAATAGTAAATAGTCACCCAACATTATTTATTGCTTGTTTAATTTGTTTTTGTGCTTAATCTATGATTACTTGTATCTGAGACTCTGTGATTAAATTTATTTTGTTGATTATGATTTTGTGATTGCATAATTTATTGTAAATATAGTATATTGGGGGGGGGGGGGGTGACATGTCCGCCTATGTCCGTCCTGTACTTTTTGGATTCTATGAGACAAGCGGACATGTTTTTGGGATATTAGCGGACATTGACGGACATTGGCGGACTCGGACGGACATTGGTGAACATTAGCAGACAAACATTGTGAAAATGCCCTGACGCGACTCAAATTATACTATATACTGCTAATATCAAATTTTAAACATTCTCTTTTTTTGTGTACACAAATAATTTCTCAAGAATTTTGTCCTTTTTGGCCTTTGAGTGACTTTTATGTGGCTTTTGATTGCCAAATGCAACATTTACGGGCAATTTTATAAACGACACCACTTTAAAATCGGGTTATTAACCCCAAAGTCATGTTTTAAAATGCAAGTTAATGACGTAAATGTTGATGTTTACTAAT